CTATCTATCTATCTATCTATCTATCTATCTATCTATCTATCTATCTAATCTATCTATCTATCTATCTATCTATCTATCTATCTATACACACACACACAAACTTAAGGAAAGAGATCCGGCAGGAAGAATGAAATCATACAATTTATAGAGTTTTATAGGGCTGTGGCGTTAAAGTCAGAATCTCCGATATAAAGACATTTCTAATAGGGAGTGGCGGAGATAAAACAAAAAGCTGCACTTTTCCGGCAACGCAATGTAGATCGAAGAAGGAAAACCACACATCCTCGGTGGGCTCGCCCAACCCACTTTCCGCCGGCCTGGAGGAGAATATGCAGGGAGACCGAACGGGGTTTGCTTTGTTCTCGCATTTAAATCAGGAAAGGAGGATCGGCAGGAAAATCCCACCACCACGACCAGATCACTTTCCGAAAAGGGTTTTTCCTCCCGCTGCCCGCCCATTTTGTGTGTGTGTGTGTGTGTGTGTGTGTGTGTTTGTGCAGAAGCTTCCGATCTCTCTCCCCTCTCCCGCATTTGAAGCAAAAATAAATAATCAAACCGTGACCTTCGCCAGACGGAGGCCGGCCGACAAGAGCTGAGGATTGCCCGCACTTCTTGCTTGCCTGGCTCCACCGTACTCACCTAAACCAGCTCTCCCCCCTTCTCCTCCTCCTCCTCCTCCTCCTCTCTCTGCTTCATCAGACCCGCCAGCCTTGCACACCCGCACGTCCAAACAATGCACACCTCCTCACCCCCCCCCCATCTTCACTCTCTCTTCCCCCCCCGCCCGATCCAGCCGCCGATTCCACCTCCCCCAAGTCCTCCACCCACCCAATGCAGAAAGTCCATGCAACATGACATTGCAAGCGCCGGGGAAGGGAGGGGAGGGATCGACTACCTGGCTGGGGTGATAGTGGTGGCGGCGCTGCTAACACTGGAGGTGGGTGCAAAGGTATCTGGCGCCCTGCACGTCCTGGAAGAGACATTCAGACGGAACGGGAACAAACAGACGTATTTAATCCGCGCTGCTCCCGCCGCCGTTGCCTCTGCAATACATGGCTGATGCTTTTTCTCCGCCCCTGTAGTTGCCGAGAAAACTGCAGCTTGGGCTTGGTAAGAATGGAAGCGCTGCTACGCAGGCGCACTTCGCGTTTGGCTGGAAAGACGGACCGGACCGGTGACGGGCATGCGCAATAGGGCCAGGGTACCCCCCACCCCAAAAAAACCACTAACCTTCAAGTGAGCATGCGCTTCGTATTCCTGGCGCTTCTAATGACCATCATGCATGTGCTGGCCTGCCTTCGCTTAGTATGCTCGATCCTCGGGCTGTAAGGTCTCGGTTGCAAACTTCCCGCCGAGAGTTAGGTGGCAGCAGAGGTGCGGTTCCCCCCCGCCCCCGCTTCCCAATGGTCGTTTGGCCTTTTTTTTTTCCCCGTCAGGATTTCCTAGCCCGACGTCAAAGATAAAAGTGTTTTACGGAAGGCTAAAAGAGAAGGAGCGAACCTATCTACGGTGACGGAACCCGATCAGAATGATAAGGGAGGGGGGAATCCTGAAACGCGGCCGGAGCGATGATATCAGCGCGCGGAGTGCGCATGCGCTCATGAGGCGTGTGCTCTAATGGTGTATAGGCGCAACAAGGGCTGCTGCATACCTTCATCAGTACTCTTACGCTACTGGGGGGGGGGCAGTTTGCGTGAAGGCGGAAGGGTGCTTAGCGAATGGAGGTGAAGAGCGTGCTTGGAGTTTTCCTTCCGGGGTTAAGAGTTGTGGAAAAGGCACCCAAAGGAGGGCGGGGCGCGCTTTTATAGTATTCCGTATTGGAGATGATCGTCGCGTTCATTTTATAAACCGCCTAACGGTTTGAAATTCGACTTCTGGGCAAGGCTTGTTTTCAGCGTCAGACCCATTTTACCGGCACGGTCTTAAAAATATTAAGAGAAATTAAAAGAATTTTGTAGCATGCAACTACTTTTTTTTTTTTTTGCCCATCCATAAATTCCATAATCACAAGGGTATTTTTGAATGCATACCAGAATAGAATAACAGAGTTGGAAGGGACCTTGGAGGTCTTCTAGTCCAACCCCCCACCACCACCACTTAAGCAGGAAACGCTATAGTATATAAGACAAATGGTTGTCCATCTCCTAAAAAAAACCTGTGCTGAAGTACCCACAACTTCCAGTGGCAAACTGATTAACTGTTCTTGCTGTCAGGAAATTTCTTCTTAGTTCTAGGTTGGATGAGAAAATGATTAAAAGAGAGAGCTTTTTAAGGGGGGGGGGAAACAACTAGATGCAGCAGAAAGATAATCGAAATAATTTTGCCACTGTACAAAAAAAAGAATATAAGTTACATTAAGGTTATACTATTTATGGAAAGTTTAGGTTAGCGAAACATGAAATTATAGAAACAAGTTTGAAAAGGATAAAAAAAGCACAATTTCCTTTATGAACTCTACCCAGACTCTTACATGACATGTATACTTCTATTTAGGATTTGTTTTTATGTCAAGAAAGTTCCTTCAAATGACTAAAATCAGACTTGCCATGTTACATAGTTCTGTAATGTTCATGTAACTTTCTTGATTAACATTAATTAGATTTTCCATCAGGCAAAAACTTTTGGGACATGGGATTTTATTACTAGGTTATATCAAAAGGAACAGGAGAATCTGACCTATCAAGAAAAGAAAATGCAGGATCTTCCAAAGGCTGTTGAATTCCAACTCCCTTCAGAGAGCCAGTTTGGTGTAGTGGTTCAGGTGAAAGCAGGAGAAGCCTCCCCTAGGCAAGAAAGCCAACTGGGTGAATGAGGTCAGTCAACCTGCAGAGAAGGTTGCAAAGCAGAAAGGACATTGGATTTGAGATTTTCAGGATTTCAATGCAGGGAGGGGAAATCCTGCACGCTGAAGGAATGGACTAGCAAAAACACTAGCAAATGCCAGCATTCTGTAAGGTTCAAAACATTGGGATTTACTAGCATTTCCCCCTCCATTAAATTAAACACTATTATAATGTTTGAACAATGCAAAAGAGTGGTTAAGTTGAGTAGAAAGAGAAGTTTGCAGAATTCATCCAAGCACTTCTAAATCCTGCCTTGATAATATCATTGCTCTAACTTAAGGTAGAGAATGTGATCTCCTTCGTAATTAATATAAAATTATTTTAGCACTGGTAAATAGGCCCATGTTCAGATGGTAGCTGGCTAGCTGAGAAGGTACAAATCAAAGGGAAGAGCATGTACATACCTCTACTCTCCAACACTGCTTCCTGATGAAATATCATCCATCTCCCTTTATCAATTGCTAAAGTTGGTCTGGAACTTTTCACACAAATAGCTTATATAAAGATGTTTCGTTTTCTCTATGGACACTATTTGCCTAAATTGTTTTCATATTTTTTCTCATTTTAAGTGGCATCTAATTTGACTTTCCAAAATGTAGTTACAACTATTATTTTTCTTTCTCTCTTTGCATCACTCTGGGAATTTCCATACAGCAACCAGTTTCACAAACCTATTCCCAAACACAGTCATTTTCAAATGTCCTTGCTCACTCTCCTTTAGGCAAAGTGCTCCCTTCAGCTGACCAGTGGAAGAGCATAAAAACCAGTAGCCATTTAGCATTCCATCACCTCTTCCTCCTTACCAGAGGAAGAAAGCTGATCACAATGAGAAGTAACTATAAAACCCTTCAGTATGAAACATCTCATGTCATCATGATACCTTTTTATCATAGCAATTTCTAGTTGCTAGGTGCAAGCAACTGATTATTGCATTGGGCAATACAGGAGTGGATTTCAGTTTACATTAATGACTAAGACTTGATTCTACAACAGATAGCAGTTGTATGACTATAATTCATTCCAATTCCCAAGACCTGGTAATTCCATTTTTTCAAATTCTTGAAGGAAAAATTTGAGGGGTTTATAATCTTCAGGGACAGAGAAAAGCTTTGCTGGCATGTCATTCTCTTAGATTAAATAACGACTGTTTCAATCAGCTGGATATACATTTGTGCTTAAAACAATAATATGACCAAAGACAAGTTTTTTTCCCCTCAGCTAAAAATTTTAGGTTACTAGTGAGGTAATGTTCCTGTGTCTTCAACTGCTTTGGAGAAATATTTAGGAAAGCTATTTTTTACACTGCCATGTAAGAAGATGCAAAGTTTTCCCTTATCAGCTTACAGTAGTGGAGCTATATAGAAGTCTTATCTTCTCCAAAAATTATAAAACAATATAGCTTCGTCTGTGGAGTCCTTTGTATATCGCTTGTTCCAAATACAACATTTGGACAGTTTGGTCTAAGTACATTTTTTTCAAGGACTTCATTTTATCCTGAGTTTTTATTATAATACAGGTAGTCCCCAACTTACAACAATTCATTTCAGCTACTGTTCAAAGAACCATTACTGATAAAAGTGACTTATGACCCTTGTAGCATGCCTATGATCATGTGATCATAATTCACTCTTGGCAGCTGCTTCATATTTATGATGGTTGTGGTTTCCAGGGTCATGTGATCACCTTTTGCAACCTTCTAACAAAGTCAATGGAGAAGTCAGAATTACTTAACCATGTTACTAATTTAACAACTGTGGTGATTCACCTAACAATTATGGCAAGAAAGGTCATAAAATGGGGCCTAACAACTGTATTATGGTTGTAAGTCAAGAACTACTTTTAATAGAACTGAAAAATATAACCACTGTGAATTATGAGATAGCAAAATGTAGACATATAATTAATCTGTGTCTTTAAATATTTTTGTAGCTCAGACACCCACATAATTTATTTTCTTATGTTTAACCAGCCTTTTTTCTTCTATGAAGTGTAAGGAAGGTTTCCAGTTTGCTGGAATTTTGCATTTAGCTCATACATGAATACCATTATTACAGTCACTTGACCAGAATCCAAAAGTGAATGAAACAAAGTAAGAGTTTGTGACTAAGTCACTGATATGATCAAAATTGTCTGCTTTCCCAGACAGTGAAACAGAACTTGCACTGTTCATAGAAATGGAATCAAACTGACCTGATAATAACAACTGTACATAAAACAAATTAGAATTGCCTAGTATTTTGTCAAACAGAGAATGATATAATATTCTTGCCCCATAAAAATAATCAGGCACCAACTCCCATCTAGCTCACTGGCTTCTTGTTCAAGTTCCATCCTTTTCAGTAGACTTCCCAATATTGTCCCACACCTGCATCCCATTCCTCAGGTTCAGGACCCATCTACCTATATCAAAAAGCAAAAGGTCTTATTGACTGTATTCATACAAAACAAGTCACAATTGGCTTAGCTTGTTGGATGAACACAACACTTCTGTTTTTTATATTTACAATTTAGTGCAGTATTTCCCAACCTTAGCCATTTTTAAATGGTGTGGCTGGGTTATCCTAAGAGTTGAAATCCACACATCTTAAAATGGCTAAGGTTGGGAAACGCTAGTTTAGTGGATTGCATAAATGTACTGTAGAATCTAGACAAGTACAGCTCATTCAACAATGTGATTAACAACAATGAAGCCAGCTATTATCTCCTGTCAGCAGCTAACTAGATTTAAAAACTCCCCGGCTTCAGGCAAGTCTTTAAATAGAAAGTGGAAGCTGTTTTACAAGCTCCATGTATTTATGGGAGGGGAGGAATGGATGGGAAGGAATAATGCTTCTGTCACCAATCTGATTCTTCCCTAAAAAAAAAAAGCCTTCTTGTTGCATCAGGAATAGCTTCAAGCGATTCCTTTAGAAACTATCCTGCTCTGCCAATGAATAGGAATGTGAGGAGTGTGGCTTAATTTACACATGATCAGTTTTAGGTATTTAACCATAATTAAATAAATAAGACATAATTGAGAGGGTTCATAACCCTGCTAAAGCCAAGACCAAGCAATCTATTTACAACTTGACATAACCTGCGAATCCAGTATGTTGCCTTGCCAAGTTCATTATTGTGATTTCCCTGCTTATTTAGGGTGTACCTGGTGTTCTTTGGCCTTCAACATGCTTACTTACCTGAACCTTTGGACCCAAAGAGATTTCCCATCACTGTTTTTCAAAAATGTCCAGAGTTTTAACAGTTTGAAACTTCCCTATATTATACCTAAGATTACCAAGGTGTGTGTGCTT